CGGAGCTCCAAAAGGACTGGCTGTAACATGTGGCCACCCAGAGTGCGCCCTGGGACTTACTCCCTGTGGGAACGTCACTGGTTTTGTCCTCGATTCTTTCTCTCCACTTCATCGCTTCAGGTAAGGCCTGCATACTCGGTGCCTTTGTGACTTTTTGTTCCTGGAGACCCGTTGGCCCCGCACGCCCTTACAGCACAGAACTGGTCGTATCTCGGGTGGTATCAAAAGCAAGGTGGAGCAGTTCTTTCAGCATTGGAACAGGTTCGACCCTAGAACAGGTGCATGCAGACTACCGTACCTTTCCCCTCAGTACTGAAGCTGGTAATAAACCAAGTCAGTACTGTGGTGGGCTGAACATGGCCCTTCCCCTTGAAGACATCAGCCCTCAATCTGGAACCTTTAAATGTCACTTTAGACGAGGTCTTTGGAGATGTGAATTAAGGGTCTTGAGGCAGGAAGACCATCTTGGATAAACAGAGGGCTCCAAATGCCATTACAGATGGCCTTGGAAACGAGAATCAGAAAAAGAACCATCGACACATAGAGAAGGGGTCCCCAGGAGCTACAGGGTAGAGCAGCCTGCCCACACCTGAAGTTTACGCCAGCGAGGCTGACTACAGATGCCCGCTCCACGGCTGTGAGAGCATCCATCTCTGTTGGCGGTCACCGAGAGTATCTAGTCAGCAAGGCAGTCCCAGGAAACTAACACAAGTGTCAGCACGTCCTCCCAGCACCACTGCAGAGCTTTCCACTGCGTACTGCCTGCAGCTGGCTAAGGTGGCCTGGGGAGGGGAGAGGACTCCATCTTCCCGTAGGGACCGCTGAATCTCTTGCTCCTCCTTTTCCTGCTGCAGGTGAACTCCACCTAAGCTGCTGCTGCTGGCTTAGCCAGCATTGCATGGATTTTCTCCCACCGGAGCAGCAATCCTGGATTCTTCCAGCAAGGCCTGGTGACCTTTCTACCTCTTCTCCCCTGATTGTCATAAGCTCGTAACAGCCTCTTCCCAAGACCCACATGTGCCATCGTGCCCCTTTCCCAGGTCTTCCTGACCCAGACCTGCAGTGTCCTCTCTCTGCCCACAGAGACTCTCTGGCCACACGTGCCCTCCTCCTCCTCCTGGGCTAGCTAACCCTGTGCTCTGTGTTTTCGTAAAAGCCCATAGCTCTTCTCTCACGACCTGTGCTGTTGTTTATTACAGACACTGGTCGAGTGCATTTCCCCAAGGAGCTACAAGCTCTGTGAAGACAGAGATGGTGCCCATTTTATTTATTGCTACCTCCTTCATGCCTGCTGTTAAGGAAGTGTGCCTGGCTCTCAACAGGTGTTCAATAAAAATTAGGAAATAGATGATTTGAGTGAATAGATGAAAAACCTTCAGAGACATGTTGATTTCAGCTAGCATGTTGATTTTCTTTTCAAAATATGATTTAATTATTTCAGATTACTGTGGTTTCATTTGAACCTCAGAAACACAGGCCTGGGCCTGAAAAAATACTTTATTGCTGCAATAAAGGTCTTATTTCTCGGGCCTAAATATGCTTCATTTCATCAGCTTTATTACGCTGTGTGTTTTTGCCCTATAGCTTCTGCCAGTGTGGCCTCACCCACCATGGAAGGGCCAGTTATGGCTCTGCATGAAACGCTGAGCCGCCTGTCAGACCCCTGCTGGTTTGGAGCACATTCCCGAGGTGGCTTCGTCTTCTTTATCTCCACACGCCCTTTGGGGATCTACATAGAGGGCTTGGGCTACTTGCATAGCACTCTTGTGCCTTACATTTCATAAATTAGCCTGTTGTTGGGGCTGATGCCAATTTGATAGTGATCAAAATATTCTCTCATCAAATGCCAACTCTTTGGGCCCTCTGGAATTAGTTAGTGACCATAACTCATTTGTAGTAGAAAAGACTGTATGCAACAGCCAGCTGTCTTAGCAGGAAGGAAAATGATTTGCTTTCTGAAATTGGCTTTGAAAAGTGTATCTGCTGCCAGAAGGCCTCTGGGCGTGTGTATGAAACATCGAAAACAGATACAACAATACACAAGAAAAGGAAATAAACTCCCAGAGCTGGCTCCCCAGGAAGTAGCCAAGTAGGCTCTCCCTCTGGGACCCAGCAAGCCACAGCATCGCCTCTCAAGCACAGCTCTTCTCCATGGGCGATGGATAGATGGAGGCGGGGCAGAGGCACCGCAGGGCCGTTGTGTGAACTGATGTTTTTCTTAAAAAAAAAAATCAATGTCATGAGTTTTTAAGCTGCTTTACTGTTTTTAAGCATGAATTTTGTTTTTGAAAAACATTATGCCTCAGAAATATTTTTAAGAACTACGGAGTAAAATTCTTCCAGATGTCTGAAAAGTTAGAGATGATTATTAATTTAACATTTAACTACAATATCTCTTAAAATATCTTACTAGCTCATTATACAAATATATTCTTATTTTCTCTCTTGCTCGTAGGGAGATCTAGATTTCATATTTAATGCTCTGATTAATGAGCATAAACAATGCTTTTAAGATGCTCTTTTAACCTGTGTGTAATCAAGCCATCTAGTTACCAGTAACTGCAAATGTCACATATTTCAATGGTCTCTTTGGGACTTTTAATCTGTTTGCTTTTATAAAGAAGGTGATTTTATTTTTACATTAAGGAAGCATTAACATCATTAAATGGGCTCCCACTTTATGATAACTGCAAATGTCACATTGATCCAGAAAGATAAGAAAATGTGCTCATCTTTGGAACAAATATCCAAGGCATGAGCAGGCAACCCACACTATTTGCATTAAAAAACAAATTGTATAAATGCAGAAGATTGATGTGCCATCTGTTCATGTCCTTCACTTTTCTGGCTCTTCTGTGTTGAGATATTTTTATGGAATAGTTACGTTTATTATTTTGAAAATGAGCCACAGGTTAAAGGAGTTTACGATGGGTAATATAATTCAAAGGTACTAGTTTACTATATTCCAGGTATTACAGCTTTCATTATGTTGCATTTCATGCCATTAAATGTATGGCTCTACCACTTATGTAGTCTGATGTTTAGACCAAAATAAAATGTACACAGAACTATAAAGGATGCTTAGGGTCAAGTCCAGAGTAGCTCACTAAGATGCCTCTTGGCAAGAAGAAAAAAGGTCCTTTAAAAATTAATGACGTAAAAAAACCACTGGCAATAGGCAGCCACTTCCCCGTCACTCCTAGGGAAAACAGGAGCGTAAAGCAGAGTAAATAAATACCTTCCGGGGTTATAAATACACGGGGCTATAAAACATCTACTAAAGCCCTTCCCTCTTCTTTCAATTTGTCATATTAATGTGTAGCAGATCCACTGACTTAAATTTTATTTTCCTTCTGCTTCCCTTTCCTTGCTAACACCAACTGTATCTGCTTCTGTTTTGAGTCTGACAAAGCACCCCGATCAGAGTCCTCTCCTCTGACTTTGAAGTTCCATTGTGAGTACACTTCATTTTTGGATAACTACGGAAAATAAAGAAATTACATAGGATGAAGCTTTTCTACAAGATTCGCCCCCTTGTGGCAACTGTCTTGGACACTTGAGGCCATTTTCCTCCCTACAGTTCTTTTCCAAATTGCCCAAACCTTTTTGTGCTGGCAAAATTGTACATTATGTGTTCATTATTTTAAATTCAGTTTTATAGACATTGGGGCATATGAGTGGTTTATTAATTGATACTTATCAGAGTTTGCTCTTCTGCTTTTGTTGTCCTTTTATTAGAAAAAGAATGACCAAAGTAAAAAAAAAAATGAATTGAATTTTGACCAATTTCAAAACATTTTTGGTACAAAAATCAAAAGCTTAAAATAATATTTTTAGCATATATGCATCTCACAAATTTTTTAAAAACGCACTATTTTCTTTATCCCAAACTAAAACTATAGTTGGAAAAGATATATGATGATGGTCATGGTACTGACTCCCATTTCATTCTCTTCCCACAGAATCCGTGGAATATATCCACACAGGAAAACTCCACGCCATCAAAAATGTGTCTATTTTGCAATTTTGTATTTAGCACACATACTATTTTTATCCTAAAAAAATTTTTTTTTTTTTTTTGCAAGTGTACAATGAAGTATGTGAAAAAGCAGGGTTATCTACTAAGTAACTCAAACCTTAACACTGCATGTCTAGGACTGGGAGGATCACACACCCAAGGACTCCCCTTCGATTCTTCTAGAATCTGAAGAATCATAGTTTTCAGATGAGGGAGGAGGAATTAAAGACTAAAAGTAAAAACAGTGAAGGGAAGACTCAGAAGAGGAAGAGTGTTGTAAGGATTTTCTGGAAGAATAAGAGAAAAAGAGCTGTGAACATAGTAAAAGGCCCTGCCGAATAGTCTGGCAAAGCTGCCACAGCCAAGACACGAGCCTTCTGATGGTCACACTGGAAAACAATTTCAAAAGGTTCACATAGGCAGATTATTAGATAGATTATTAGACAGACATTTTAAAGGAAGAGAAAGGAAAATAATCACTTGATTTTTAATGTTAAAATTAAATCATTCTTTTAATCCTCATCTTCCTCAACTGCAGCTTTCCCTTAGAATTGTTTTCATTTAACCCTAGACAATAAATTGGTCTGCCCAATGACTTCCAGACTACAAGGATAAAGCTGGAGTTCAAGTTGGAAATGTGATATGGAAAACGTTAGTCAAACAGAGCCTTCACTCATTACAGAACAGAAGTGACCTTCACGTTGTATATAGAAGAATGAAATGCTGTAATACAATCTGCCGTAGCATCTTAAAAGGTCGGAGAGAAGTCCTGTAAATCCTTATTTACTCATAGAAGGAATAGCGTCCCTCTTAGTAGCAGCACTGGTTAAAACAATTCTGTAATTGCCGATACTGGAAACATGCAGAAAGTATGTATACACATTTGCACATTTTTTTCATTTTGAAAATCTACAGGAGGATTTTTATTTTGCAACCTTAAATTGATCAATGAAGAAGGCTGGAAGTGACTATTTTGGCTCATTTTTTTATTATCTACTCGTACAATTTCAAGGCAGAAATTCATGTTGCTTCTTTTTCTGTCTGAAATTTTGTTTATAAAATAATTCCAAATGCATCCCTTCTTGGTGAGTGTGTCGCTCAGAATTCTTCATGATCACATGAGAAGGCACACACAGGACTTGGGGACCTGTAAGATCATGTGGATCCACACACAGTTTTGTGAATATACAGGAGCAAATAATGATCTTCGCCTAACATTTCTTCAAGTCACAGTTGTGCATTTTTATTTTATGTCAAACACACCAAAATCTCAGTGTACTGAACTTTCACTCTGTTCTCTTTATTTCTTTCAGAAGATGGTACTGCTTCTATTCCTTCATATTTTATCTAAAAATAATAGTACAGCTGCAAAAAAATAGCTGGTATCTAATATAAATTGAATATTTATTGTCCTTAGTTCACTGCTCTCTCCCTGGTGCTTTGATTCTAATCCTGGACTCCTTATCCTGGTGCAGGATTAGAGAACTGCATGCTTTAGAAGTTGTAAAACGCGGTTTCATTGTTTACTACCTTTTCCTTACCATATATATTTAATTGTATTGTTATTGTTTTTTACATTACTTTACGAATATGATGTACTGGGGATTTTTTAAGGAATAATTAATTATTACTTGTCTTGACTGGAAGGACCTAATCAAACTATAGTCAGGATTTGTGCTGTGAGTCCTGAGGGTACTTGGATCCATGTGATTATTGAGAATTGAAATAAAATACAGTGAAACAATAGTCAAGAGTCTCCTAATACAAGAGGGAATGCCCTTGAGTCGATTGGAAAACTGTTCCATTAAACAATTGTCTGGTAATGTAACCGATTTTACCTGCATAAATTTTCAAAGGGGATGCTCTGAGACAGGGCGGCAGAGGGGAGACACTCTTCCTATTTTCCATATTTTTTGTTGCATGTTCACTGGGGGCATTGCGGAGGTAATTCCAGCATCAAATTTTCCTTTTAAAAACTTATCTTAAGAGAAGCTACTTTATTTTAATCAAGATGTAGACCATGATGCCAACTTTAGATACTGAAAATTTAAAAAATGGAACTGCATCAGAATGTAAACCTTAGGTATTAAAATGAGCACTGATGCTTTCTTACTATTGTAAAGCAGTGTTCATGGGTTTGATTTTTCAGAATGAAGTAGGGGGAAGTAAATGAATTCATATAACTATAAGCAAAATGCTAAAATCAATAAGTTGGTGAATCTCTAAATGTATGCATGATTTCAGCGAGACTGTTGTGTTATATGTGGCAGTATGGTGAGTGAAAAGATGACCATATCTATTCATAGGCTGGGGTTACTCACCATCTAAGAACATTTTAATATGAATTATCTTTAAAGGACAGGACACAATGCCATGGTTTGGGGAGGAGCGATACCCCACCACCTGCCCCCTGAGCTTCATGGTAGTGGCACAAAAAAACCCTCCTTTGTAAGGAGTCTTTATACTGTGTCTTGTTCACACTGATCAAACGACTTTCTCCAACAGCAAAGGTAAATAATTCCTATTAATTGACAGCCGAAACAAGGCTTTAGGAATTCACTCAGTAGCTACAAAATTATGTGCGTGCAGAAACGGTAGGGTAGAAGTCGAACAACTGCCTGTTTCTATTAAATGGCAGGCATGGCCTAGTCAGGTAAAAACATTCTTAGCTAAATTGACTGCCATAGCATCACGCAGGACAGAAAAAGTCACAACAGAACTACAACTTGTACTTTCCATATACCAGGGCAACAAGCTGTGATGCAAGAATATTTGAAAATATCACTACTTGTCTAATCTTTCCATGGGATTTTTAAGCTTGCCAAAGAAATGTACACATAATTGAGTTTTAGGATATATGTATTTCTTTTTCTGTGCATTACAGAGAAAAGATAGGTTGAGAGAAGGAACACAGATAGATAGAAATTTCTCAATTAAACACACTTGTATCACATTTATATAAAGCAAATAGGCATAATTTGTTTCTGCATGCATATTATAAAGAAGGTCATGTTATAATTGCTAGAATTTTAGAAGCTAAGACTCTATGATAGCTTCGGTTGTAATATAGTATCTTTGGTTGATAGTATTTATAATATTCGTGAAGTAAAATCTATTCTTTGTGAAGAAATACAGTTTAAGCTGGCAGAAAATTTTCTTTTAGAAAATTGTTTTCTAAATGCTTTATGATGAGATCCATTTAAATTTTTAAAAACTTATTACTGAACTTTTTGTACTTATAGAATAAAAACTTGCAATAACTTTGAGTTTGAGAAAAAAATTGAAATATTGACTTTTCAAGGCCAGAAGAACTTTGTGGGTGCAGCTCCTCCCGCCATGCCCAGCAGGGCTCCCCTGCGTCTGTCCCTCATCCCCTTTCTGGGTCGCTGCCTCCCCGCTGCTGCCCCGCACAAAGCCCTGGGTCGTGGTCCTGATCCTTTTCCTGCATTTCTCCCTGGTGTGCACAGGGGAGTCTCTCCTCTTCTTACTGATTAAACACCAAAGTTATGCTCTGAATTATATAGAATATAAAATTAGATATTGTCCCTGCCCAGTGGGCTCACAGTATCTCCAAATTTGCTTGTAAAATATGTCTACATATTGTATAACAGATGCACTTCAAGTGCTAAATGTCTGGAGATAAATCTATTATTGACTTCATCCTCTGAACCTTTCCAATTTCCTTTATCATTTGTCAGCTCTCTTTATGTACATACCCGGGCAGATTGGTAATCGCAGAGCATGCTCTTTCCTGTTTTTTTCAGAGGTGCCACAATCCAAGTCAGATTCTAGTCCTGTCACTGGAGGTACCAGTGACATTCCGGACCCCCACCCGTGGCTGCTGGTCTCCTGTGCTTGCAGCAGTACAGGCACTCAAGTGTGTCCTGTGGCATCTGAGTTTCTTCTGCCCTGTAGGAAAACTCAGGATTCTGTCCATTTTAAACTGTTTTATAACTTTTCTTAAAAATATTCTTTTCTCTGGGCTAGAGGGACAGCTATAGAATTTGCACAGGTATAATACAGGAAAAGACCTGGGTTGCTTTTTAACTACGTGCTTTAGCACACAGTGTTTTGTGTTTTAAATTTTTTTTGTAATTGTACGAGCACACCTGTGTGCCTTGGCACATTTCTGCTGTACATTTCTGCATACAGAGTGATACGTGTAATTCAGATGGTTAGACATAGACACAAGATTGCTTTCTTCAGAGTTTAATGCTGTGCTACATGTATGAATTATACAGCTATTGCTTCCAGACATCTAGGGGAAAGTCTTAATCTGTAAGAAAGCAATTCTAGAATATTATAAAGGTTAAAATCACATCCTCCATTCTCTTGTTAATTTCAAGCTGTGGATCAATAGAGATAAAAATCCCTTCAGAGTTTAAGGTTGAAATGTGAGTTTTCAGCCTAGAGGAACACAACTTTGATCATTTTCAAATAAAATACCAGTTTTATTTCTCCTCCTAACAACAAAACAAGAAAAAATGTAAAAGTAAAATGTTCTCTTCTTCCCTCTCTTTTTTGTTTATTTCTGAGTCTTTTCATTTCAAATGAGTTTTTAAACACATTTGGCAGTCAGTACCCCTAATCATTCAAAGAGTTGTGTGACAAGGGGGATCTGGCTAGATACCATCAGTTCTTTTAAAATGTATTAGTCTTTAACCACCTGTCTTTTCCCTTAAATTTTAAAGAGGAAAAAAAAAAACCATATATTTTGATGAGGGAATCAGCTTAATGCTTTTATAATGAAGCTTTGGGAAACATACTTTAGCATAACTTATGGTTTAAGACCTTGTCACAATGATGGAAATGAACTCATTTGTTCAAAGTTTGTCTTTTGGTAAAAATAATTTCTTTTATGACAATGAACCTGTGTGGGGCCAATGAAATTGATCATCAGGAATGAATCCTTTCTACTGCTGGCTTTGTATTTATAGCCCAAGGTAAAGTTGTAGTTTGGTTTCCATGTTAGTGTTACGTTTTGGTCCCCAGGGTAAAGAGAGCAGAATCTCATTGTTGTTACACTGTTGCCAAGAATCTCCTCTATGTTCATTGACTTTCCACCTCATAAAATATGGTTTGGTCATTAAGACACTCATACCTGGTGATCTATTTTACACATCCCCAGTCTGGTTATATCCTGTCATGTAAATGCATGTTGCACCTGCCTATTTAATGGTTTTAACTGAAAGGGTGATCATAGAGTGCTGAGACCAGCTTTTTAAAGCTTAAGATCACCTATATATAAGCTGAGAGTAGTTTGTAGCTTCCCTAGACCTTAGTGAATCTTGATCAGGTCGTGATCTGAAGCTATTTCATTTTAAAAGTGTGTTACAGAGCTTCGTGAGCAATAAAATACCTTTATGTAATATTTCCCTGGCAGTGTGTTGGGTTGCACCAATCTCAGAACTGTTTTAGGAAGGCAGAGCTGTTTCCTCTTCAAGAAATTCTCACTAGAGTTAGGGAGAGGTGGAGTGAGGGCTCAAGAAAAGGGACAAAGGTCACAGTGTCACCGTGCACGTTATAGGGAGAAGCACCTCCTGACCCGTGACGTCACGGTAACATTCAGGGGCCGGGGAAGAGGGTGGAGGGCCAAGCCGGAAGAAGGAAAAACGGCATCGTTCGCTGGTTTGGGACGTTTAGGGCAGATCAAAGTTAGAAATCCTAATATCTGTAGCATATTTATGAATCAGTAGTCATATTCTGAAGGATTTTAGCCGTTACTCGATGGCAGTCAGATTTCATTGATTTAATAAGTGCTGAGGTGCCGGTCATGCCCTGCGCATGAGCACTGCACGGGTCCTGACAGGCGTGGCTGGGCACCGACTGAGGTGTGTCACCTCGTGTCAGTTGTTACAGTGTCCACACCTCGACTCTCTTTGACCTTTGTCGGTTAATCGTTTTAAACTAAAAAATAAATTCGTTTACTACCAAGGGACTGTGAGACAGGACTGTGAGCTGACCCTGTCTGGTGATACTGCAGGGTTTTGATTGGGACTAGAAAACTAAGGCGACAGCATCATTCCACCTTCATTCAAGGGTAGAGAGAGTGTGAGGCAGACCCACTAATAACCAAAGTGGGCCCAGGATTGTGCTTACAGGTTGGCGCAGGGCAATCAAATGCTTTATGTGTCTGAAATTGCTGTTAATTCATAACCTCGTATGCTATTCAGACCACGCCATGTGACACTCTCAGGCAGTAGTTTTACTATACATCTATAAACTTCAGTTTTCAGTTTAAAATCTCAGATGTTTCCATTTGCATTTAGCTAAAAATTGGCAAGAAGATTATCATCTCTGATCCAACTTTTTTAATGGAAAACTAATTTTGATTTATGGGGTGGCAAAAATATAAACATTTTAGATAAATCTTTTGCCAATTTCTAGATAAAAAAATGGTTTTAACTGTTAACTTTGGCCTTTTGGAGGATTATTTTTAACTGAACATGTCAATGTTTTTACCCTATAGTGTTTTTCTGTGTAAAATCACACAGTATCACCTTGTTCTTTCTCACAGTGTGGAACCCTCTTTAGGGGCCTTGGTACTGTGTCTGCCCACAGAGATAGCCATGGTCTGGGGAACCAGAGTCTTGTGTCCTTACCATTCCTTTTGGCAAGTGAATGACAGTTTTCGAGCCATTAATAAACGTATGAAAACTATTTAAAAGTGAATTTAATACAGTACTTGCTTAGTCTTATCAAAAGACACAAAGACCTGGTGAGAAGCGTTTTATTTGTACTTCAGTGCTAGCACTGGTGCTCATTTGTTCAGTGTCTGGAGATCCCTGGGGAAACGACCCTGTGGCCAGGACGTCAACCTGCAGCCCTAGGGCCAGCATCTGGCTGGTGGGGGTCACCTCGGGAGAGTGTAGTTGCTCAAGCCTCTGAAGGTCCCAGAGGAGAACCAGGTTGATTACTTCTGACTCGGTGCTTCATAACTACGTTTTTCCTTTACAGAACTTATTTTTCACTAAGTAAATTGACATAAATGAAAATAGTTCTATATTTTATAAAATAAATGATGTGATCCTTTTTACTTACCTCTCCCAACACTCTGGGCTTTCCCTTTCCAAGTAATTCTATCAAAATTAAAATGTATGGTGGGTCTATTTTTTTCGTAACTGTGTAGATTTCAGTAAGTAATATACTTTAACATCTGACCCTCATAAGTTTTAGAAGTCAGTCCAATAAATCTCTATTTTAAGTTATTTTAATGTTCAGTGTGAAAAGTGTAAGTTTCAATTACTCTCAAGAATACTACATTTGGACTTAGTGTTTGCATTAAGCATGGCGGGGGGCCTTCATGCAAGCTGCCTTAAAGTTCTCGTTGTGTATTCCACTCTTTCAAAGTGGGACATACGCATGTTTCTATTCTGTATAGGTATTTAGGTATATGTGTTATATGGAATAGATAACATCTTAATTTAACTTACACATAGTATACGAATGAAATAATTTTCAGCAGATTAGTAGTATCTTAATATGTACTTGCACACATGCACACACATCTTCATGTACCGTTTTAATACATGTCAACCTCGGGCAGTGAGAAATGATCAAACCAGAGCAGTAGTACACCCATCACCTCTAACACTTTTCATGTCTTTGTGACGAGATGCAAAATTTTCTTTCTGGCTATTTTGAAATAGTCAACATATTATTTTTAGCTACAGTCATCCTACTGTATAATAGAACATATATATATATATATATACACACACACACACACACACACACACACACATTTTATCTGTTATTTGGATGCATATATAAGATTAATAAAATTTTTGACAAGTTAGAAATTGTTTCTTTAAAGAGTATTAAAATTATAAGTGTATGGCAACTTTCTAACAGCTTAATCAATATATAGGCATATACAATAAAATTTTACAATTTTAAGTGTACATCCTTAGAACCTTTGGCCATGAGGACATAGTCCCTTCTGTCCCTCCCGGATCCTTGTGCCCTCTGCAGTCCAGGCCCTGCCTCTGTTTTCTATCACCACAGTTGTGTCCTTTCTGGATTCTGCTTTTGGCCACTGTTTTCCCTTAGCTTTTCTATAGCTCACGACAAAACCATAAGCTCCTTGTGATGGGGACTGGATTAGTCACAGACACTCCATTTGAGAACTGGGAACCTCTTACAGGTTTGATGAAAATTCCACTGGAAAGCAGCAAGTTTGGAGTATGCAAGGACAGGAGACATTTCAGGTGTGATCCTCAGGCCTCTGCTGAGCCATGAGATGTGCGCTGCTGGTTGAGGTCATGAAGATAAGCCAGGCAGGTATTGCCAGTAGGTAGACAGTAGCCCACTCCCGTGCCCCTTGCCACAATACCCCAAGTACTAGCCGAGTCACTTCCTTGGTTTGGTTTGAACTATGAATGTATCTAACCTTTACATCTCATGCGTGTTGTGATATGTAACATGTTATTCACATGTCCACTCACAAGAGGTGTCATGCAGTGGCCCAGCCCAGCCCACCTAGGTGCCTGTGCACTGGTTTGTCTGCTTAGGACTTGAACCCAGGGGAGGTGGAGCAGAGCAGTCCTGGCGGGTGCCTCTCAGCCCATTTGCCTCATCACTGTGAGCTCAGTGCCCACCAACACAGGCCTTGTACATATTGGAGGTTCCGTACAGACCCCCTGACCGAGGAGTCCCTGGCCACACATCCGTAATGTGGATTTAAATCAGTGTGTACCTAGTGGGCAAAAACGCTGCAGAACACGTAGAGTGGTCCCTGCACGTATCTGGTAAACAGATAAAATGTTTATTGCTATGATTACTAGAATAGTGCTGCAAATTAGAAGTCTAAATCAATTATCCAGATGATCCAAGAAGGAGCTTTTTAGCTTGTCTTATTCTCAGCTTTTCGTGGACTCAGGGAACTCAGTTAATTGACTGGCTGCATATATAATACTCCACAAGCACAGCTCCTACTTCTCAATTACGGGGTGATTGACAAATGTATTGGTCTAAAGAGTTTATGAGTTTCACAGATTTTAATGAAATATCCAAGTCAGCTTGTACTCCTGCCTGTCACTCTCTTCATAGAGACTTCGAAGAAACCAAAACCCTTGCTGAATGCCATGAGGGCTGTGTGTGTGTGTGTGTGCGTGTGTGTGCGTGTGTGTGTATGCATGTGCCGTGCCAACATTATTGTGCCTGAGAATTTGGCATTGTGGGATTTTACTTAATCTGTGTAGTGGGGATTTTGTAACCTTGTGGATCCTTTATTTAAGGTTGAAAGCTCGTGGTCAAGCTCTTATTCCTTTGCTCCTTACGTAGTCTTTGTGCACACGCATGCGCATACGTAGTGCCACTGTCAGGCGGTGTATTGTGGCACTGTCCAGAGAGCTTCGTACGGAACTCTGATTCTCATGTAGGATTTAGGCTTAGCAGAGACTTACAGGCCTGCTGCAACCTGCCATCACTCAAGTGAGATTGGGGATTTCTTAGGAAATTAAGGATAGGACTGAGGTTCCCTCTATTTCTCTTTCCATGCCACCTATGTTTATTATTTTTTCTTATCCACTGGTGAGCACATAACTCCCCTCAAATTACAATATTTTTTGTAATTTTGCCATCTATTTTTAAATTAAAATATTTTCTTTAGACTCATTAAAAATAATTAGCTGGGAGTACATAATTTACATAACTTCTGTCACATGTACCAGTGTCATTTTCTCATTACTTGGAACATACCTTTATCTTCCATTAGCATCATCTGATTCAAGAAAAAGAAAAAAACTAATTTTTTTGTGTAAAATTTCTTTGCATGTATTCAATTACAAATCAGAAAAAAAGGAAAAATATGGACAAAAGAGATGTGGTAATAAATAATGAACTTCCCTTATGTCTATTATCTGGTGTCTTTTAGACCGTTTTTGTATGTGATGATAGTTTCAAATATTTGAAAGAGTCAAGCGTAGTCTGATCAGGTAGATCTCCCGATGACCTCTGCTCTTTGACTAAACTATTAGCTACTTCGGTCTAGTGTCCTGGCGGCAAGGGTAGGGACGAGTCCTAACCAGGCGTCTCGGCTTTTGACTACGTCCTGAGGAGCTCAGTCGAGCGGCTCCTGGACATCGTCCTGGGAAGCTCGGATCCCCAGAGGGCGTCGCTCACACAGGTAAGGGATTCCTAGGCCTGCGTCTGCAGGAGGCTGGGCCGGTGGAAAGTGGGGTCGGAAACCCCGTGTCTGTGGAAGCCGCAGAAAGGCTTAGACCCACGCTGCGACGGTCACGCCCGGGGAGCCGCGCACTGCCCGGGCTGGAGCCTGCAGCTGTGAGACTTGCTAGTGTTAGGAAAACAGAAGTGACACACAGAAGCGCTTTTAAAGATTACAATAGCAGTAGAAATATAGTTTTCTCGATTAAATTTTTGAATGGTTGGTAAAAGGACGCGTGTGCCAGGTAGGCGAACTAACTGACACGGCGCCAGCAGTTAAAGCGCAATGTGGAGCGCGTCTCTGTCCCCTCGGCCCCTCACAGCCCTCCTCCAGGGGCTGCCTGGGCCTCGCCCGCTCTCTGCCGTCCACGCCTGTCCAGGGCCCAGGGGCCAGGGCACGGAGGCGCGAGCGAGCACTTGGGCTTCCAAACGGTGCTCGTGGAAGCAGGCTGAGTGTGTCCCGCAAGCCCTTTAAAGAAACCTATACGTTTTTCACATTTCTGAGGCCTCGTTTCACAAACCTACTCTAAAAATCATCCAAAATTGAACATATTGGAGGCAATCAGCCAAAAATCAAGACTCCACCATGTGAAGCATTAAGAGCCAAGAAGAGTGACTGGATGTCATGTGCGGAGCTGTGAAACCCAGCCCATCTTGACAAAAAATAGACTTGCTGTGTTCCGTGTACTGTAAATGGCAGCATGTGGAGCGAGCAGTCACAAAGCTAAAAGAGACTCTGTGCCATGCGGGCCGGGACGCAGATGAACTTTCCGGGACAGTATGTCGGGGCGCCTGGTGGGCGCGCTGTCCCGGATCCCTGGGTAAGGTGTAGCTTTCAGTGCCTGCCGGCTGCTCTGTGACTCAGAGCCCAAGGTCTGCGGAGTGAAACTGTGCAGCGTGATTCTCTCGGAGGGCGCGGGCGCGGGCGCGGGCGCGGGCTCGTCCCGGTGCGGGGTGCTCTTTTTTATTCTTGAGGAAGAAAAACATCCCAAAGGGAGCGAGCGTTGTTGGATGGCAGACACTACTGGAAGCAGCGCTGCTCTCACTTGTGCTCTCTATTATTTCTGAGAGTGAAGAGAAACATTTATAGGGAGCGAACTTGGCTTCGGGTCTCACGCATCCCTGTTCCCTCTCGGAGGTGGTAGATAACACGCTCCTGGAAAGCTCAATAATTTCAGGTCATTCACTGTATAAGGCACGAAAGGGTAAATATTACTCGGGGTTACTTACCTTTCCACTGTCACGGATGTTAACACAAAGTGGAGGACTCTTAAAACCAGTTGATAAGCACTTCTTATTTCTTTAGTGAAAGATACCCCCTTGAGTAGTATTTTTCATTTTAGAATTCAGCCACGCAGAGTGTTTTGATGTGGTTACTACAGTGATAGGCTGTTGTCATGGTTTGTGCTACTGACACACTTCCTAAATATCTTAAAGGTAACATGACTAAATGATATGAATTAGATGACAAAATATACTTAATATTATGTACATTGCACATTATATATTTATATTCTAGTATATGCTATACATCATACTGAATACATAATACATTATAGTCATATTTTGTGTTATGCTTTATATATGTTATATCATTATATAAATTTTTGTATAATTATAAGATAATAGTGTCGTATCCACCTCTTAAAGCTATGATCTCATGTTCATAGTCTAGTCTTTCAAAAATTGAAAGCATTGAAATGTTGCTGGAGAACTTGATAAATTGGTAATCCCTGACATTTTAAATTAAACAAAACTTGAAAGTTGCGAAGTATATGACTCCCACAGCCAGTAGCATGTTCTTAGCAGCACCAGGAATATCCCATGCCGAAATATACTTTGTGTTTTAGTACGAACAAAGAGAATATTTTCAAGCAAGTATAAGAATGTTTTCCTGCATATTTGTGTTAATTATAAGTCAAAAATCTTTAAGCACTGTTTTAACTTTATTGTATAGCAGCCTTCAAGAAAAACAGTATTTATTGTGAAAGATGATTGCAGTTTCAATAGTCATTCCCTCTTATTACTTAAGAAAAACCATATATTTAGCCAGATACCATACACACTAAGTTTAGTTCACTTGGCAGTGCTTTAACCAGCTTTTCCTTCATGATCTTTGTATTTAAAATAAATCTCAAATAAGCTATAATTCACTGGACATGCTGAGTAATGAGTATACATACCCTGTCTGAACAGAAAAGTATACAATTACAGATAAGATCAATTATTTTTTTAAAGGTAATGTACTGAAATGGTGAAGGAAAAAAAACACACTGGCCTTCCTTTTATCTGAAAACAGAAATTGCTGGAAACTGGGGTGGCTAGGGGAAGAAACCTAGCAAGAATTGGTTCCTGGGGAGAAACAGCTTTCATAGTGGCTTTATTAAAACCAAATGAAAACAAAATGGCTAACAGGATTTCTAAATAACAAGGCGATGGCACATCAGATCGGTCCATATTACAATAGCGAATGGAATGGAAGGCGGACTTTCAAATTTCATCAAGAGACTGATCATTGGCCTTGCTTTTGCAGTCCTTTAAGATCCTCAGAGGTAAGAGGTAAAGGGCTGTCCTCCAGTCCCCACCCAGGAAGGGTGCTTTTGGAGTTGCAGAACGCTGTCTCTTGAAGGACCCTGTGGATGGCCTGTGCTCTGCAGACAAAAGCCCCCTCTCCCTCCTGTTTGGGTCCACTGGGTGAGAAGAGAAGTCTTTTGGTTGCTGCCTCGCACACCAGTTGTTCTGCCTCTCTCTATAATGGTGCCGCTCCATGCATACTGCCCCCAAATCCGTTGAATTGAAAACTGTTATTACCCGAGCACATTTGCTGTATATGTTTACCTCTTTCTTGAGTCAAGACTCCAAGCACTTTCTTGGGAAAGGAGAATGCATCTTTTTATAAAGCCAGCCCACAGTGTCTAAGGACTGTCTATCTCCCGAGTTGTCTTTCAGAAAACAAGCAGGGTTCCAAGATGAGCCCAGCAGGGTACATAATCTCCACCCTGTGTGAGAAGGTGAATGTTAGCTAAGCTACTATTTCATTTCTTGTGGTGAGGGCAGAATGGAGGGCTCAAACCTTTCCAGTTTCCTTAGACAGAAGAAATTCCAGAAAAAACAGAGGTCTTTGCCTATTCTCAACTTCTTTCCTGCCCTTGGACTTTCTAGCATCTAAACCAACAAACATTTCTGCAGAGGCTTTGTACTGAGCTTGAGTCCCACCAGTTTTAATTTATTTGATTTTAATACTCTCCTAAACACAAACTTCAAAATTGGTTGCCAGCTAACATACGATACAGGCCACTGTTTTGAACATGTCCAGGTGGCCCTGTGGTTTCTAGAAGTGGGACTATCATAGTTTTCTTGATGTTTCTTTTGTGAATATCAGTGTCATTTCTTCACAAATGTGGATCAGTACATTACTTCCTAGTCTATCTGTGTTCCTCCATGCCCCATGGCTTTATGTTTCCACAGATGTGGATGCCGGGCTACAGAGGGCTTAGGTAATTTGCCTAAAGCCCAGAGCTGTATGTGAATTCAGGTTTGTCCTCTACTGTGCTATTTCCTGGTTTTCAGAACATAAGTCAAATTGTTCTTTTGCTTCCGCCATTGTTTTGAGAAACCTACCATGTGGACTGAAGAGAGAAAAGCAGTTGGTATTTATATCGCTCTCACCTAAGGTGTTCTGGTTGTTTCGGCTCCTGAGCTTTGTTCAACAGTTCTGAAACCCCAGTCAGTAGATGTCATAGTGAGGCAGCAGAGCAGCAGGATAGCAAAAAACCCTGGGCACTGTGATTTTGCAGACATCGCAAAGAAGACATATTGCGGTCTCGTTGCTGACAGTCTCTGATGAAGGAGATTTTAACTTACTTTCTCAACCATGTGGCCATGTTTTTAACTTCTCTTACAACTGATTTGTCTCCTGGGGTTGAGCCTCTTCCTTTGAAAATGCTTCGGGGTTAGTGTTGACCATTAACGTGTGACGTTCTCTGCTCTGTTCCAAGGAGGGTGATTTGCTCCTCAAAATTATTTTTGGTTCTGTATCTTAGGATGTAGACAACATTTCCTAAAATACAGACAACTGTAGACACATCTCAAAGACAGTGTCATAGTATTATAGTACAATTTTTAAAAATCATATAATAAATTTGAACCTTAGTGCCCTTTACTTGTGATCATAGTATTTAATTAGGTTTCATATTCTTTATGAGGTAACCTGAGAATACAAGGGAAAATCTAAGGCTGAAAGCAAAGGGTGACTACAGTGCAGGAAAATGGGATTATAGTGCCTGGCACATCATAGATGTTTGAATTTGTAGTGTTTTTGAAAAAATTAGTGCTTTAAGAAAAACTTGAATCCTGACAATTTTTCTTAAATAACTGTATGACTACATAGGATTTAAGTACATGGAAAACACTTCAGTAAATGTTTATTCGTCATAAATGAAGGACAGGAGGAAAAAAGTGATGGAGAGGGAGGGAAAGAGAGGAAAAGTAAAGGTGAAAAAGAGATGGGATTTGAATGGTAATTACACTAAATATTGCTAAAGTTACTAAAACCAAATAAACACTAAATACTATTTTTCCTACTCTTCTTTATTCTTAACTGCAAAATAGTATAGAACTTTTTTTGGATAGGTTAAAAATAGTTTCTTCCTGGGCCTGGGATTTAGCTCAGTCGTGCTGCCGCCTGCCTCACAAGCCCAAGGACCCAAGTTTGATCCCCAGTACCAAAAAAAAAAAGTTTCTTGCCCTTTTACTAAGAATCTACAAGAGTAGTAAAGGTGAAAAAGAGATGGGATTTGAATGGTAATTACACTAAATATTGCTAAAGTTACTAAAACCAAATAAACACTAAATACTATTTTTCCTACTCTTCTTTATTCTTAACTGCAAAATAGTATAGAACTTTTTTTGGATAGGTTAAAAATAGTTTCTTCCTGGGCCTGGGATTTAGCTCAGTCGTGCTGCCGCCTGCCTCACAAGCCCAAGGACCCAAGTTTGATCCCCAGTACCAAAAAAAAAAAGTTTCTTGCCCTTTTACTAAGAAGCTCTACAAGAGTTTAATCAGAAAAAGAGTATTTGTTTCCATCAAATCCACAGAAACATATTGGGCTCCTATAACTAGTACTCTGTAGAAGATGCAGACAAAACATAATACTTTCCTCGATGAGGTTGAAATTTTAAAGAACTGAGTCAGTGGCATAATTGACCATCAGACGTACACTACACACACACATACACACATGCACACACACCCCTAGACTTTCCGGAGGAGAGCACTAAACTCAGTGTGTGCTGTGGTCTAGACAGAGTTCTGAGCCACGAGAAGCAGCAGAAACCAGAATTAGAGGAAATGCACTGGATGGTCTCAAACTTCCTGGTGTTCAGCTTTCTGTTTTAGCCCTGGAATATTAATCTGTGCTGTATATAAAATTTTATGGACATATAGAGGTGAATAAACAAGCATCAAAGCAATTTGATCTCTTACAAACAATGAAAGTGATAACTCATAAAACATTACCATGAATAGTATTCCTTTTAAAGACATCCCAGAAACTCATGAATTTAGGTTCAGTTTGGGAAAACTATATTTGTCAACAGATCACCAAGTGCACTGACATAAAAGGAGTCGACCTCTTTCAGAATGTTGTCTGGATGGTTCAAGTGATGTTTCTGATTATAAAACCACTTCTTTGCTGATAGATGTTTCCTACTGTGTTTGTCAAATGGTAGGTTCATGGCTTCGTCAGGGACAAAGTTATTAAGGACATAAAACGCCATCTGGATGGAGCTAATAAACATAAAACATAACCTTCAGATTCACTGCCGCAGTGGCCAGGCTGTGCCAGGCCAGATTAGCCTTTGTTTGTGTTTAAATCTGAGCCGTGTCCTAAGCCATCGACGCTGTACCTTTTGCCGCTTCCCCTGACTCAGGCACTCATACCCTGCGAGGTAAGCGCCATGCCAGCTGACAGACGCACTGCCTCCGTGACTGAGCTGACATTTATAAACCAGCCTTCCAATATTTTCTTCGATGATTTCCTAAAAGCGTGATTTTATTGACTGACGGTATAAGAACCCATAAAATGGCAGAGGGGAAATGTGTCTCCCACAGTACAAACTTCCTTCTAATGAAGTCCAAGGAAATGAGCATTAGAACCAGAAAGGCCTGACTTCTAGTGAGTCCCCTGAAACACATCATCTCCAGTGCAGAGTGACTCTGTAAATACTGAGCTTCAGGACTTGCATTTGTTTGAGGTCGAAAAATCGATATATTTGTATATAAGATAGCACTGCTATCATCAGCTGACCTCTTTCTCGCCCTCTCGGGTGTGACACAGGTGAGT